GCGGGAGCTAGAAGCAGCCCGGGCCGTCAGCACCTCCAGGCCCTTCTCTCCCCAACTCCCCACGTGTGTTCCTGGAGCCCATGCACAGCACACGCATGCTGTCGGGATGCTTTCTGCCCTCGGTGGCCTGAGCTGGTCATCTGTTCAGGATGTTTGACTCCTCCGGGAGCAATCTCACCCCGAGACTCTGCTGCCCACGGAGCTGGGGCAAAACGGTGTGTCTTTACTGTCTAGCTGGAAGGCTCCATCAGAGGCGAGAGGCAGAGTGTCCCCCTGGACACGTGCACAAAAGAAGAGGCCCACTGGACCATCCAGAGGTGCAGCGGCCCCGTCACGCTGCATTACAAGGTCAACCAGGAAGGTGAGGCCCAGCCAGCTAGAGACTCCAGACCTGGCCAGGGGTGGGGGATGGTCCTGGACTAAACAAGTGACCCCTCCACCCAGAGCCTCCACTCCTCATCTGTTCAGTTGGGGGAACGCGGCCCCCCAGCTCCATCAGGAGGGTCCGGGGAGCAGGTCCGGGAGAGCAGACAACTGGAGCGCAACTTTGCTGTCTCACTCTGGGCTCTTTCGCCAAGTCCCCATGTACCTGCCCTGGCACAGGGGACACAGCAACCCCAGCCTCAAGCACATGTGTCAGAGCCAGGCTGGAGGAGGCAGTGACCTTGGCCTGGCCTGGATCAATCCTCCCTGCCAGGGTGAAGTTCCTGGGTGGCAGCAGCTCTGGGGTGGCCTCATCACTGAGCAAGGCCCTTGAGCCACATCCCAACCCCAGGCCTTTTGCTGTGTGGTCCCTGCCCCCCCAGGACCAGTGGGTCTTGCCCTCCCTTCCCCTCTGGACCCAGCAGCCTTTGATTCCTTATCTCCTCTGTTATCTCCGGGCCAGAGTCCTGAGCTCTGTTTTCCATTTCCTGTGTCCCCGAAGTCTGAGTTCTCACTCTCACCGCTGGGCTTTCCTGCGTGATCATCTCTGCAGCTGGATCTTATTTTTAACCACCAGGGCTCATGAATGTTTCAACAGAGCATAAATAGCCGTTTCTTTCTAGCCGCCCTCCAGTGCCGCCTGCTCGGCTCCTTCCCAGCAGCACCCTGCCCGTGCAGAAAACGATAATGACACTCTGTCCCCAATTGCGGGCCGAGTCTCCCCCACACACAGGGCAGGCTGCTCCCCGCTCCTGTGGCCTAGCTTTCCAGCCAGGCAGAAAATCTCTGGGCAGTGCCCTGCCCACTGGCCGGTAGTACCACAGACTGCGACATGAGCGGCGCCCCCCAGCCGTGTGCAGCGGCAGCGCCCTGCAGTCAAACTCCAGGGAGAGAAGGTTCACTCTGCAGGGACCTGCTTGTAGGCCCTTTGCTCACAGGAGGCAGGGAGCTCGGATAGCAATTGCTGTTGACCCAGCTGGGTGGGCGGGAAGGACGCTGAGATGCGCTGGACAAAGTCAAACCCCCCAGAAGGACCCGCCAGGGAATCCCTGTTTCTCCACGCCACACAGTGAGGACATGGGCCAGACAACCTCTGGCTGAAATGTCCCTGGAATGTGTGGTATAGACATCTGATGGGTTACTCTGGGCCTGGCTGTTAGAACTGGGTTACCTTCCACTGCATTATGCAGCCCTCTGCATGTTGGGCTGATTTGGGGATTTATATTATGAATTTATATCATAGACATTCTCTGAGAGCTTACTGTATTTATTGTACTCACGGTTTACACCTTGCTTCCTTCCAAAGCATTTGCAAAATTTTAATTGCAAGGACGACGACATGTAAGATTAAAACAACACGTACCTTGGTCCTACGTCTTTGGAAAACCATTTGGCAGTATCTGCTAAAGCTAAATATATATACACGCCATGACCTAGTAATTCCACCGTATCCCAGAGAAATGAGCATGTATGTCCACCAAAAGCAATGTGTAAGAATAACTCACCGTGGAGTTATTCACGGTAGCCAAAAACTGCAAAATGCAGATGCGCACACAGGAGAATGGATAAGCGCACGTAGCGTGGAGTATAACGCAGCCATGCAAACGCACGCACTCCCGCTGCACCGCTGCGTCACGGACAAACCTGAGGGGCATGATGTTGAGCAGCCGAGGCCAGAAGCAAAAGAGCGAGTACTGTTAGGTTCCATGTGTGTGACTCGAGGTGCAGCTTATCCGCTGTGACAGCGGTTAGGATACAGGCGCCTTTGGAAGGGCATTGACAGAGAGCGCTCTGGGTGGCGGCTACCCCGTGTGTACATCTGTGAAAATTCATCAAGCTAAATACTCAAGAATGTATGCAGTTTACCATACGTAAATTGTGCATCAGTTTAAAAAATTAAAAAAGCAAATGCTGTGTCATGCTGGGAAAGACGTGGAGACTGTAGCGGAGATGCTAGTAGAGGCGATGGCTGCAGCTTTGCACAGATTTTAGCTTTGTGCTCCCTGGCAGCCAAGACAGAAAGGAAAACAGGTAAATGACACGGCTGCCCATTCATCAGGGAAGAACTTTTCGCTAGCCATGAGCTCTAGAGGCGCGTGTCACCTGGGAACATTATCTGGGGTGGTGGTGAGTGACTTTGCTCTGGGAGCTGCCCCCACAGCCAGCTCCCCCTCTCCCCCGCAGGGTACCGGAAGCTGCTGAAGGACGTGGAGGAGGGCCTGATCACATCGGGGGACTCGTTCTACATCCGGCTGAACCTGAACATCTCCAGCCAGCTGGACGCCTGCACCATGTCCCTGAAGTGTGATGACGTCGTCCATGTCCGAGACACCATGTATCAGGACAGGCATGAATGGCTGTGTGCGCGGGTGGACCTCTTCACAGACCAGGACCTGGACGTGGGCACAATACCCAGCTACAGCCGGTGAGGCCAGAGCCTGGCCACGAGGAGGACCAGGCAGGGGCTGAGGAAGCCGTGGGCATCGGCAAAGGGGCCACAGAGGAGCCCAGGCCACAGAAAGGCCACGCCTTTGCCTGTTGAACAGGGTGGTCCCCCAGTCCCTCCTCCCCAGGAAGGCTTTCCTGCCTCCACAGGGACGTTTCTCTCACCCTGGCACCCTCCTGCAGGCTGGTTGGTGACCAGACAGCTTGGCACTCGATTCTGTGCCCTCACTGTGTTCCCTAGTCATTTGTCCTCTACAGGCCGCATCCCGGCCGCGGTAGGTGGGTATAACAGGACTGGCTGTGCCAAGTGCAGGTGGCGTGTCAGGCAGCACAGCAGGCACCGGGAAAGCATGTGTGACACCTTAGTGTCTGTATGACTGTGAACTGCTTCCCAGGCCAAGTCCCACCAGGTGAGCATCGTCAGACCAGACCTGTAGGCGAGGGAACCTGGGCTCAGAGAAGCGAAGCCACTTTGCCACAGCCCCACAGTGAGTCAGAGCCGCAGGCAGGATTCAGACACAGATTCGAGGCACCATCTTCTCCCTGGGGTGCCCCTGGGCTCAGACTGACACCATCCACAGGGCCGGGCACGCGCCCCACTCGCACGGGCACTGTGCAGAGCCGCTGCTGGCCCAGGCCCACCCTGAGGCTCTGCCCCGCTTGCCTCCCCAGAGCCCAGCAACTCCTCCTGGTCAAGCTGCAGCGCCTGATGCACCGGGGCGGCCGGGAGGAGGCGGACCCCGCCCACCACACCCTGCGGACCCTCCGGGTAGGTCTGCCCTGTGGCCCTGCAGGGCAGCAAGGACGGGGACCTCGCCAGCCTCAAACCCACCTCCCTGGGTCTTTTTTGGGGGGAGTAACAGGGGGGATCCATTCATATGGTTGCGACAATGACTCACAGGGGCTCGGTTCCCTAGGAAGGGGACACCTTCTCTAGACGGAGCCCCATCCTCTTGTGCCCTTCCCCAGGCTCCAGCTTTGCCAGGAAAAAGGGCGGTGACTGAGCCACGATTTCCCATTCCAGCTGGACTGTAGGCTCTGCCGTCTCTGGCCTCAGTCAAACAGTCACCTTCCCCAAGTCTCACGACTCCTCTCACCCCTCCCCAACCATCCCCCGTCTGGAACCCTTTGATCCCACAACTGAAGCTTCAGCGCAGAGGGGCTTGGCGACAGGTCGCTGGTTCTCAACAGCATCACTGATCTCACCAACCCTTCCAAGCCCAGCCGGGTCTGACTGATTGATAAACTCATTTCAGAACACCCTGCAGCCTGAAGAGCTGCTTTCAACAAGCGACCCCCGGGTCAGTCCCCGCCTCTCCCGAGCGAGTTTCCTCTTCGGCCAACTCCTTCAGGTAAAGCTCTCCAGCGAGCCACTGACTTTGCAATCACGGCTGGCTATGGCCTTGCCCTCTGCCTACTGAGACCAGACGCCTGTATCAAAATCACAATGCTTTGTGTTTGTACACCACTTGCAACTTTTCACAGTGCCTCACCTCCGCTGTCCCGTTTTATCCTCTCAGCGACAGGTCGGTAGACAGTCTCTGTGCCTGTTGGAAGCAAGTCCCACTTTCATAAAAGATTTGAGGAAACTTGTGGCTAAAAGAAACTGAAGTGAGCTGTTCAAATATTAATAGAAAAATCAGAAACAGTGTATCAGGAGAAGAAAACAAACATTCCCAATATCTAGGCCAGTATAGCTCCTCACATTAACCATTACATTTATCTGAGCATCCTGAAAGCCAAGGAGAAAAGGGAACCCCAGCAGGTTCTGTCTATAGAAACATTTTAGCTCTTCAGGACCAGAAAAGATTTTTCCCTTGTACTTAATTCTAAAAGGAAAAAAAAATTTTTTTTTTGCATGGATCATTATACAAGAAACGTTGATTAGCACAATGTGTGGTATCTTCAGATGTGAGTTCACGTAAATACAGGAGCATTTTTTGTGACCATTTTTTATATCACCAGTTGACAAAAGCTAAATGAGTCATATTAAAATGTAGTCCCATGAGCGTGTATCTGTGTAGTTGCCACACTAATTAGACCCCAGCGGAACCAGTGTGACACTCCACGGCTCCATCCTGACGCTGGAACAGAGGAAACCCAGAGCAGTGGTTCCTGGCATGACCCAAAACCCAGGTGGACACGAACAGGTGGGAGAAAGACACCAGGTGGGAGGGAGCACTGGCAAAGTCTGAGGTATTCCTCAGGAGAGGCTATCTGTGGTGACACGTTACTGTGCCCACGTGTCATGCGAAAGTCTAGGAACCTCGAGTCTCATACGAGAGCGTGCCGCCAGCTAGCACCAGGGCTGGGCTGAGACCCCAGCTCGCCTGCATTCTCCTTCCTGTGGAAGGAAGGGTGTGGGGGGGACAGCATAGCCCCAGAAACGTGGTGCGAACCTGGCCCCTGCCACTGCTGAAGCATCCTGTCTGCCCTCTAGGACTCAACTCTGTGAATTGTAGCAGGAAGTGGGTGCCCCCCAGAAGACTCGGGGATACCGAGGCAGGGGTCAGGCCATGGTGAGCAGTGTCGAGGGAGACAGGGCTGTCCGGCACATGACTACCACGTGTACAGCGAGTGGGCTGTCAGCCGGGGGTCCTCACCAACCAGGGCACAGCAGGTCCCAAGTGCCAACAAAGGCTGCACCTGAAGTCCCCACAGGAGTGTAGGTGGGACCGATGGAGATGTCATCAAGGGCCTGGTTAAGGAAGAGGCTTGGGAGCTGGGGCTTTTGTTCACTTACTGACCTACTAACCACATCTACCTAGGAGCAAAGAACTCGAGCCACCTGCTGGGCAGCTCCAGCGGCCCAGGGACGCCCAGGACAGGGCTGGGATTTGAACAGAGGTCTGGCTTTGTCAGGATCAAGGTGGCTCTACCTGGTTAGAAGCAGGAAACTGACTGGTCCCTCCCCGTGTTCCTCCAGTTCGTCAGCAGATCCGAAAACAAGTACAAGCGAATGAACAGTAACGAGCGGGTCCGCATCATCTCAGGGAGCCCGCTGGGGAACCTGGCCCGCAACTCACTGGACGCCACCAAGCTCTTGACTGAGAGGCAGGAAGGTACACAGTGACCTCGAGACCCCTCCCCACCGCCACAGGCCACACAGCCCCACCTGAGAGCACATAGGTCCCTGGGAGGGACCTAAAAGTGCTTGACCAGGAGGACGACGCAGCCTCCTGGGGTGATGTCCGCCAAGCTCACCCCTCATGGTGCCATGGTCACTCTGAGCCCAGATGCCATGTTAACGGGGCTGTTTGCTGTGAAGTGTCAGGAACTGATTTCTCCACCCACTGAGCACCTCTTGCCATTTATCCAGCCAGTGAGGGGCCACCAGGTACACCGTCCCCCGTGGCAAGGCTCAGTCAATGGCCAGCCAGGCTTCCAAGCTCAGGGGAAGGCAGGCCAAGACCCCAGGGGACAGTCAGAAAAGGGCGAAGTCAAGGGACAAGGCACTGGATTCTGGGGGACGTTAACAGACTCCCTCCTGAGCCTCTGTCCAGCGCCCCACACACCAGCCAGATGGGGCTTGACAAAGTGGAACTGAGGCCAGGTCGCCACCACCTGCCACGGCCTGGCTCCCGCACCTCACCCTTACCTGCTGGATGATGCCTGCGGGTCCTGGGCTGTGCCCCTCCTCTGAGAAAAATCCTTGACTGGCTGCAAGAGCAACCCCTCCCTCCCGAGCCCTGCCAGGGTCCATGTGTTCCTTGTCTGCCTCTGCCCCACAGATGTGGCCCCTGAAGACAGGGCTGGATGCCCAGGGCTCCCGGCCAGGCCTCCATGGCTCACGGCCAGTGGAGCATGGGCACCGCCCTGTACAGTGGCCTCTGGGACCCAGCCCCAGGTGGCGCATAGTCCCCGAAGGCCTCCTGGGCCCTGGGACCAAGCGTGCACCCCGGCAGGGCGGGCAGGGCCCTGACAGCTGCCCTCTCCTGCCCCTGCCAGAGCTGGACCCAGAGAGCGAGCTCAGCAAGAACCTCAGCCTCATCCCCTACAGCCTGGTGCGTGCCTTCCACTGCGAGCGCCGCCGGCCTGTGCTCTTCACGCCCACCGTGCTGGCCAAGACGCTGGTCCAGAAGCTGCTCAACTCGGGGGGCGCCATGGAGTTCACCATATGCAAGTCAGGTGAGCAGAGGTGGCCGCCTTGGGGGCCCCAAGGGAAGCCCATGGACAAGGCCACCACCCCTTTCCTCTCCCCCCAACTCCCTCCCACTCCCTTCCTCCTCCTCCATCCCCGGGAATAGAGAAGCTGCCTCCTCCTCGCCAGGTGTAGGTGGTGAGGGAGTGAATCCACTCCCACATTGTCCCCATGGCCTGGGGAGTGGAGAGAGCCGCCTCCCCTCACCTCAGGGTGAGAGGGTGAAGGTCACAGGGTTAGCCAGGAGTTCAGGTCCCCACTGAGGGCCCTAGGCTCGAGGCCAGCCACCTGTCACTCTGGCCTTGGTGTCCTCACGCACAGCAGAGCGATGGCGCCCACCCTGGAGGCTGGTGTGAGATGGCGCAGATCGCGAGGCCGTGCCCTGCTGTGCTAGGCCCATCATCAGAATCTGCAGTGTTGAAACACACAGATGCCAGGCCGGGTGTGATGGCTTCAGCCTGTGACCCCAGCACTTTGCGGGGACAGTCGCTTGAGGCCAGGAATTCAAGGCTGCAGTGAGCTGTGATCACACCGCTGCACCCCAGCCTGGGCAACAGAACAAGACCCCGTCTCAAAAAAAAAAAAAATGGATGCCCCATGCCCACTCGAACCAATTAAATATCAGATGCCTAGGGTTTTTTTTTTTTCTTAAATGATGGTAAAATAAGCATAACACAAAATTTACCATCTTAGCAATTTTAAGTGTACAGTTCAGTGGCATTAAGTACATTCTCATTGTCGTGCTGCCTGATGGCCACCATCCATCTCCAGAACTCTTCACCTGCAAACTGAAACCCTGTCTGCATTAAACACTCACTCTCCACCCCCTTCCCCCAGCCCCTGGTAGAACCACAGTTATACTTTCTGTCTCTTTGCCTGGGGGTAAGTCATCAACCTGTTTCCTCCTCTGTAAAACCTGTCGGCCACTTCTTGTAGAGGCCTTTGACAAATGGAGAACCTGAGGCCCAAAGAGGTTAAAGATATGTTCAGGGTCACCCAGCAAGTGAGTGGGGCCTCTGATACATGGCTCCTCCTCCAGGAAGCCTGCCTGCACCCCTCTCCCCCACACTTCCTCAATGCTCCCACATTAAGTAGCCCATCACTGCACCCATTAAGTTTTATTATATAATTACCTTGTCACTTACACTCTTCTCCCCAGCTAGATTGTAGATTTTTTAATACGGCAGCTGTGTTTTTAACATGTTTTTATTTCTACTGCCTGACCCTTAGTAGGGTGCGGTGGGTGAGTGGATGATGGGTGGATAGATAGACGGGTGAATGGATTGGTGGGCGGCAGATGGATGGATGGATGGATGGGAGAATGGGTGGGCAGATGATGGTTGGGTAGGTGGATGGGAAAATGGATTGATGGATAGATGATGACTAGACGGATGGGCGAATAAACACATGCGTAAATGAACGAATGATGGGTGGATGGATAGGTGGGTGAGTAGGTGGATGGTTAGATAAACGGATGGATGAATGGATGATGGGTGGGTGGATGTATCAGTGGGTGATGGTGACTGGGGGTGTGGACAGATGATTGGGGATGGCACAGGAGATTCTTCATGGTTGGCGACTGGAGATCAGCACTGCACCTGAGCTACTTGGTCCATGAGTATTTACTAAACACCTGCCCTGTGGGCTGCCATGGGGAGTGTGAGGACGTGTGACCTTGGCCCTGCCCTCAAGGGGCTTCACAGTCCAGTGGAGGAGACAGGGTTCATTTAAACATGGCTGGAAGGGGGTCAGACACCGAGTCCTGTAGAGCCCAGCGGGGGCGAGCAGGGCCTGGATGGGACCCAAGGCCCCGCTCGTGCTGCCTCAGGACTGGTCCCTCTGTGTGCAGACATTGTCACGAGAGACGAGTTCCTCAGAAAGCAGAAGACGGAGACCATCATCTACTCCCGAGAGAAGAACCCCAACACTTTCGAGTGCATCGTTCCCGCCAACATCGAAGCTGTGGCGGCCAAGGTAAGGTGGGCGCTGACGGCTGGGCGGGGCGGGAATACTCGAATTATCTTTGGGAGGCCCCCTGTCCCCGGGTGAGGGTGGGATGAAGAGCTGCTCTCACCTCCCCACAGCCAAACCTTCTCCGCATCTGCCCCGTGCTAACTTTCTCTCTCCGCCCTCGTTCTCTGGGCTCTGACGTGGGTTTGTATTTTGGAACCACCTTCTGTTTTTGGTGGCTTCCTGGTGCTGGTGTGCCGGTTCACATTGTTTAGGGATGTGTGTGTGTCTGGTTGTGATAACAAGGGCCAGACATAGAGAGCAAGCGTGTCAGGGCGAGAGACAGGACGAGCAAGCAGGTGACAGGCACTGCGTTCACCGAACGGGAAAATGGGGCATCAGAAAGGTTGCTGGCAGCGCGGCGGAGACGTTGTCCGCATGGAAGGCCGAATCTTCTGGAGCCAGGTGTCAGGAAGGAGTTTTCTCTTGTCCTAGCACTTGACAGGTCCGAGACAGGGCAGTGTGGCCCCAGTGTCCTGGATGGGGGCTGTGGCAGGGGGGCAGCTCTGTGGGAACAAGAACCTTGGGGAGGGCAGCAGCAGGCACCCAGCCAGGAGGTCCGTCTAGCCAGCGGTCACTCCTGCCTGCTCCTTGCGTTACTCACACAGATAAAAGCACAGCAGAGCCATCAGCCATCATGGAACAGTTTGTTGTTTTTTGAAGTCTGGGCTGCAGCAGTTTAGGAAATTCTGACAGCTGGAGTGGCTAGAAAATGAGTTGGCAGGGTTGGAGCCGAGAGCGCGTGTTGGCTGAGAAGGCAATGCTGTCCAGCGCGGTGCTGCCAGAAGTCTGGGCTGTGGCCACGCGGAGGGGTGTGGAGAGCGTGGGGTGTGGGGGTGGTGAGCGGCAGGAGGTCGGGTTGGCCAGTTCCACCTCTGGACCTGGGTGTGTTCAGCTTGTGAGCTTCACTGAGACGCAGGCTTAGGACACTGTATGTATGTTCTCTTTCAACGCAAAGTTTGGTGGCTTTTTAAAGTGATGCCTCTGATGAAGCAGGGATTGTCCTTTTTCTCACTGTTAAGAACCCTGGCAGATGCTCCCAGCCCGGGCCCTCACCTTTGTGCATTTTCCATCCTCTTGCCTAGTGCCGAGGATGCCCTTGAGGGCCCACAAGAGTAGCAGATGTTTTATTCAAACGCTTTCCCACGGCCTGCTTCGCCCAGGCGGGGGCCTGGCCTCTGCCAACGGCACACCGCTGTGCCCGGCAGAGTCCTGCAGCTCCCCGCACAGCCGGAATGTCGTCTCACGGAGGCCGGGTCTCACCTGTGCACCCTGGCCCTGCGTCCCAGCCCCACCCAGGCACCCGCACAGGTTGGGGAGGGCAGGTGGGCCCCCGCTGACCACAGCCACTGTGCTTGCAGAACAAGCACTGTCTGCTGGAGGCCGGCATCGGCTGCGTGAGAGACTTGATCAAGTCCAACATCTTCCCCATCGTGCTCTTCGTCCGGGTGTCAGAGAAGAACGTGAAGAGGTTCAGGTAGGGCTCCCAGGCCCCGGCTGCCCCTCCCCCACACACCGCCAGGCCCCTGGCTCCCCGAGCCTTTGTTTCCCCCGCTCCCCTCATCCCCTTAGCAAGTCCTCGTCAGTACAGGACCCAAGTCCCAGGCAGACACGGCCCCAACCTCATGGAGCTGAGGCCAAGTGCAGCCTCAGACACAGTAACTCACACTGTGGGACAAGTGCTGAGGGGACAGGGCGGGCGCCGCATGACCCGGGGTGGTGGAAGGCCTCAGGGATAAACCTGCAACCACCACTGCGGGAAGGGGCCCAGCAGAAGCTAGAGGAACAGCTGGCGCCCAGACCCCGAGGCAGGACGGCCCCAAGCAGGCCAGGGTTTGGGCGCGTGGAGAGAGGAGGCAGATCCAGCCCGTGTCAGACCACGCCAGCCACAGGGTGGATGTGACTCCTTACTCCACACGCAATGGGAAGCCACCGATGGTTCTGAGCAGACGAGTGACGTGGTCCAACTTAGGATGCAAAGGCTCCTCTCACCTCTGTGCGGAGACAGGCAGGGTGGCAGTGCAGGGCCGGTGCTGTCTGGGAGACCACAATGAACAATCTGGATCCTGTCCAGGGTCGAGCCTGTGGGTTCATTAGAGGGTTAGCTGTGGGGTTTGAAAGAGGGGATGGCACTGAGGTCTGGGGACTGAGTGACAAGGACAGACTTGCCCATAAGTGGCATCTTCTCCGATCCCCGCCTCTCCTCCAGCACAACTGCAAAACAAACATCACGACCCCATTTTACAGGTGGGGCCACTGAGACTTAGACAGATTGGGCCACTTCATTCTTTGTCACCAAATATTTACTGAGCACCTATTAAGTGCCAGGCACAGGGAATCCTTCAATGAGCAAATGAGATGAACATCCTCACCACGCTACCTCGTGCCTGTTAGGATGGCCCCGCCAAAAAAATGGAAACTAACAAGCCCTGGTGAGGATGTGGAGAAATTGGAATCTCGTGTGCAGCTGGCGACAGTGTAATTGCAGCCGCTGTGGAATACAGCGTGACGATTCCTCAAAAGGTTAACAATAGAACTGCCATTGACCAAGCTTTCTACTCGTGGGCCCATGCCCAAGAGAACTGAAAGCAGGGTCTCCAAGAGCTATTTGCACACCGTGGTCATAGCAGCACCCTTCACAGTAGCCACAAGCAGGGAGCACCCAAGCGTCCGCTGATGGGGAAGGAATGAGCGAAATGTGGTCTAGCCACACAGTGGAACATTGCTCAGCCTTTAAGAAGGCAGGACATTCCAACACCTGCTATAGCATGGATGAACCTTGAGGACATCATGCTCAGTGACATAAGCCAGCCACAGATGACAAATCTATACAACGCCACTTGGATGGGTCCCAGAGTAGTCAGATTCCTAGAGACAGAGGCGGAACGGTGGGCGCTGGGGCTGGGGGAGGGCGAGGGGAAGTTAGTGGTTATTGGCCTTGCAGTTTGGGAAGATGAAAACGTTCTGGAGCTTGGTTGTGCAACAATGTGAATATACCTAACGCTGCTGAATTATCCGCTTAAAAATGGTTCAAATGATAAATTGTATTTTATGTGTATTTCTTCATGCTTAAAAATAAGAATTTGTTTAAATCCCCACCTCTTGGGATTCCCCTAATGAACAACACGAAAGGGCACAGTCCGCAGCGTGAGGTGGTGGCAGGCGCTCTGGGGGTGCCGGGCAGGGAGGGCAGGTGCCACAGTGGTCAGTGGGGGGTCGGGTGGCCCAGGGACCCACGGTGGCCGGGCTGGTGGGCGCCACACCAGGGCTCGGTCCTGCAGCCTCTCCACACGGCCCCCGCGTGTCTCCCCGCAGGAAGCTGCTGCCCCGGCCAGACACGGAGGAGGAGTTCCTGCGCGTGTGCCGGCTGAAGGAGAAGGAGCTGGAGGCGCTGCCGTGCCTGTACGCCACGGTGGAGGCCGACATGTGGGGCAGCGTGGAGGAGCTGCTCCGCGTCATCAAGGACAAGATCGGCGAGGAGCAGCGCAAGACCATCTGGGTGGACGAGGACCAGCTGTGAGGCAGGCCCTGAGTCTGAGACATCTCGGGGGCACGCGGCCGTCCTGCTGCCCACGGAGCTGCCGGCCAGGGGCTCTGTCCTAGCCGGTGGTGGAGCCCTCCCTGGAGCCCCCGGGGACAGATACACCTGGCGGGGGCGGAGCAGGATGTAGTTTATTCCACCTGGGGCTAGCCGGGCCCAGCTGTTCGGCCCTGCTGGCTGAGTAGGGAGATGGGGTGCAGAGGACGCCAGCCAGAGGCCCGAGGCCAGCTGGCCCCTCAAAAGCCAGAGCAGCAGTTGAATGTAACGCATGGGACAGGGGTGCTCCCCACAGGGCCTGGGGACACACCGTGAGCACATTCCCAGGCAGGACAGATCGGGAAAGGGGAAGTACACCATGCTATTATTTCTCTCTTGCATTAAAATTTCTCCATTTCTTTGTTTTTGATTTTTAAAAGTTGTTACTATTTAATAGTTTGCAGAGGTTTTCAGTTCTCACCTTCCTAACCTGAAAACCACCCCAGCAAGCTTAGCTGACACCCACAAAGGCTCCAGCCCCATGTTCACTGGTGGGATGAAGGTGGGGCGACCATGTGTGCCAGCTTCCCCAGACAGGCCTGATTCACAGCTGGGCTTGGGGCATGCTGCGAAAGCACCCGCTTTGACCAGTGCGTCCTGATTTGGACGATAAATTATACCTTCACCCTAGGAAGGGCCTGTCCTTCCATAGGCTCTGGGGAGCTCTTGCTGTCTGTGCCCTGCACCCGCCAACTCCAGCCCTGAGGCAAGACCCACTTACTCAGCACTTCCCTACACACTGTTGTCCCCGTCCCTGTGCATTTAGTGTCCCTGCCTTGCAGCCCCACTTCATCCTCCAGTTCAGGAGGGGGTCTGTGCCCCAATGCCTGGGAATCGGGGGAGGGCAGGAGAGCTGTGTTTCCTCAGCAGCAGGCAGCAAAGGCCTTAGGGGTTCTAGAACCATTCCTCTCCTTGAACCCTTCGATGCAACCTTGCCAAGTATGGACCCAACCGGCACAGCCAAACCAGACCAGGTCGTACCCTTGGCCAAGTACCACACTGTATAGGCAGGAAGCTGGTAGGAGGCAGGCTGGGATTCAAATCCAGGTCTGCTGGTCCGTTTGTGGGAACTGTGGGAGCAAGTGCTAGTTGACAGCCAATATCCACACTCCCTTCCTAACAGAATCCAGATTTATTCTGGGAATGTCTGTGCACAGCTAAAGACATATTTCCCAGCCTTCCTTACAGGTAGGGTAATTGAGGAAACAGAAGGGAGATTTTAGGGAGAGACAAGCAGACAAACACCACTTTTCTGCCTGGGATGCAGACATGATGGCTGGAGCTCCAGCAGTAATCTTGGATCTTGAGGTGATGGTGATGAACAGGAACCCTGAGCAGGGGATGGTGGAGCAAAAAGATGAAAAGAGCCACAGTCACTGATGACACTCAGGAGCCCAGGACTACTGCTTGGATTTCTTTCACATGAGACAAAGAAGTTTTTATGTTGTGTTCAGTGGCTGTTATTTCAGTTCTGTTACTTGCAGTGTAAAGCAATTCCTGGCAGATAATAGGAGCAGCCCTTTTCTCAGTGGTTTCAAATACCACGGCCATGAGAGTTGGTCCTCTGTTAGGTTTTTGCCACATAGGCAAGATATGAATTGTTCATAAAAGAACTCAATTAATAAAGACCCAACCTAAAAAACAATACTGTGTGGCCTGTAGCATTTTCAGGCACTTTGACCCCTGGAAGACAAATGAGCACGCCAAAGCGCTGGGAGATGGGAGTGAACGGACAGGGGTCCTAGGAGGGGACCTCGTTCTCTCCTCTCTAATGATGCCTCCCTACATCACTGATTTTGAGCTTGCCAGGGAGCGCAACGCCTCTGAAAACAAAAGCATTCCTCCAAGAGCCAGTTAGCTATGCTGCTTTTTCCAACACAGCCCCCAGAAACAAGTTGGATGCACCAGGTATAGAGGCCATGATTCCTCGGCCCAGCTGCGGTTATTTAGGGCCGGAGAAGCCGCCACGCCAGGAGATGCAGGGACTGGAAGGCCTCTGCTTCCATCTTGTTAAAGCCCTAAGTGAAACAGTAAATTTCCCCCAAGCCGAGGCCATGGCGTTTCTGCCTGGAAGCCGTGCTTCCTTGTAGAGCGCTTAGTGCCGAGTGGACGGACGTGACTGGAAAAGAGTCCCAGATAAAAGGCCTGTCGATTGATTTATATTTCTTTCTTTAACTTCAGAATTCTTGGGCTTGTGCAAACTCATGGCTTGCTTGTAATTTGAGGGGGCAAGGGGGTGAAGACAGGCTATGTGTGGGGAAAGATATCATGAAAGAATTGGTGGTGGGTTTTTTTTCCCTTTTGCCCAAGTGATTGTAACCAGGCCCCAGATTGCAGGGCTGGGGGGTGGATACTTGCTAATGAGAAGGGGTGGGAGGAGACCAGAGCCAGGGCAGGAAAGAGGCTCCCCGTGCCGGGCTCTCCCCCGGAGGAACCGGTGAAATTAGTGGAAGGCTGGGACTGGCGCCCAGAGGAACCCGTCCATGTGCAGATTTCAAAGGAAACCTCCACATCTGCTCTAGCTCCCGGGTCCTGTTTGTCAGCTCCTGACAACCCCTGCAGCTGCCTGGAGGGCCAAGCAGGGCCTGGGGGTCCCAGGGAGGGACTGCACAGAGCTCCCTGCACGGTCTAGCTGCAGCTCCAATTACCGCGCAAGGGTCTGCTCGCCAAGCTTGCTCTCTGGAGCCAGCCCAGGGTGCAGGGAGGCTGCCCACACAGCAAGCCGGAGCCTGTGCCAGGCTGATAACACCTCGACAGTGCTCGGTCCACCTCACAGGACCCAGCCAAGCAGCGCAGGGCCACTGTAAGACACAAACCCCAGCAATCGTGTTGTATGTGTAGATGCACACTTTTCAGGGGAGAAAGTCCAGGTTTTCTCGGATTCCCAAAGGGTCCTATAATCCCAAAAATGTTAAGAACCATTGCTCTTGGGTTTGGCAAATATGAGTAAATATTTTTTGAGCTCCTACAGTGTGCCAAGCACCTTGCAAATGTTATTTTACTTTACTTACCCCAAAACTCTTCTCTGTTTTATACAGGAGACAAATGATTCTCAGAGAGGTTAAGTAACTTGACCAAGGTCACACAGCCAGTAAACTGCAACTCCATTCAGGTCTGGTGGATTTGCCAACCACGGCCTGTCAGTTGGATCTTCCAATCCAGAGCTGCTGTTTGGGGGCCCAGAGTGTTGGCCATGCATCTCCTCTGCTCTTCCAGTGACTAGGGAAGTGGTTGCTGTCCTGGGCAGTAACTGGCATGGGGCTGCAGTCACAAGATGACAGATTGAGACTCTCTTGGATGAGGCAGCCACTCACACCCAGCAGCACCAGCCCAGCTGGCCCTGGGCTTCTACCTAAGCAGGCCACAAATCTGGGGATGCTGGCTTTCTCACCCAACCCAGGAAGGAGTTGCTTTGGGGAGCGGGTGAATGCAGGAGGGAAACATCTTTGAGCTTTGGCATCATGCCACCATGCCGCCCTCAAAAGCCACCGTATCTGCTGGCCTCATTCCCCTGGAAGTGCTTCTCTCTGGGTTGGCATCCTGGTCAGCCCTACTTCCCTCTCTCTCCGGGATTTTTCTGTGGTAGTTCTGCCAAGTCGACCAGGATGCTCTAGTGGCTTGACTGGGAGCCCTGTGCCCACTCGGATCCCTTTCATCCCCGAGTGTCCTGCAAGGGCTCTGCCCAAGGAGCAGCAAAAGCAGCTGTCGGTGCCGGCCCCAAGACCCCACCCCATTAGTTTCCAAGGTCTTTAGGGGTGGCATAGATTTGAGTCCCAAGAGAAACAACACTCCAGCCCCCATTTCCTGGGCATCCACCTGTGAGGACCACAGTGGGCAGGACCTCAGGGATAGCCTGGGGAGCTCCCAGGGGTCCAGGTCAGCTCTGCCCTGTTAACCATCCTTTCCTCTTGGGGCCCATGGAAGCCCACCTTCCTCTCCCTGGCCCCTGCAAAAGGCCTCGTGAGTAGTGGCAGGTAGAAGGGGCCACACATTCTTTGATCTTTGACCCTCCTCCATTAGAGAGTTTGGGTCTGGTTTCCTTCCCCTCCCGTCTGGGCTGGCTGGGACTGTGTTGCCCCAAAGAGTGACATTCTGCTGGCACCTTTGAGAGGACCAGCAGCTTCCATCCTGGTCACCTGAAGCCCTGGGCTGCCCTGTGAGAAACAGGAGAGACTACAAGAGAGGGAGGGGGCCAGCTGGGTCCAGCCTCCCAAACATCCCCTCCAAGTTGCCAGGCAGGTGGCAATAGACAGCTCTGACCCTCCAGACCAGTCCAGCCGCCAGCTGAGAACTCCTGAGTGACCCCAGCCGACACCAGGTGGGGCAGAAGATAAGCCCAGCCCAGCCCTGCCCAGAGCCCTAACCCACAAGGTCAGGAGAGACAATAACATGGTGATTGTTTTAAGCCACTGGTTTTAGGGTCACTTACACAGCAACAGACCCATCCAGAACAGGGGCATAGTAATAAAAGCACCTGACTTTAAGTCAGCCACACCTAGGCTGCAGCCTGGGCAAGCCATGTGTTTGCTGTGTGACCAAGGCAAGTAGCTTGACATCTCTGAGCCTCAGCCACCTCATCTGTCTGGTAGAGATAATTGGCTGCGAGTTAACCCACGTGGTTGCATCTGGCAGAGGGCACCCGCTGGATCTGAGTCTCTTCTGAGTCTGGCGCTGTCTGCAGCATCCCCAACAGCTCCAGTAAGTGGTGGGTGGGCTCATCCCTGAATGATGGTTCTGAGAGGTGGGCAGGGCCGGTGCTAAGACCCACTTTGCAGATGAGGAAACTGAGGCTTGAGAGCTAGGGTTTCAATCCAGCTCTTCTGGTGCCAAGTCTAATCACATTCCTCCCCACTTCTGCTGAAGTCTGGCATTTCCTTTCCCCTATCCCACCAGATTGGGGGTGTTCCTGGAGGTTCTCTCTCACCAGGGCATATTCCACCTACTTCTGGAGAGCCAGCTGCCTGGCCCTGTGCCCTGAGGGCCAGGGCTGTGGGGTCCCCACAAGGGATGGAGG